TGTTGCTTGAAACGCTGTACCTGTTGAAAACTTGTAATTCCAATTAAAGTTTTATTCCCCCTGTCCTTTCTTGTCTGGGCAGCAGTTCTTTGCACGCCATCAATTTTCGTCTTACGTGTATCGTTCTAACTGCATTTATAATTTTTCAATACGTTGATAATTTGCGCAGGAAAACGTAACGGTGAGAGTTACGTCGTTTTAAATTATCACAATCTTGAGCGCATACATTCAAATAACAACATCTGAATTAATTTCAGTTGCTTGAGTGGATAGACCGCTATGAGTTCATATATCAGGGAAGTTTTATTATGACCAGTTTCTTTATTCTTACATACATCAGTGTACATGTCCTAGCTTTGCTTTTTGGGTTTTGTAGATGAATGTGTATAAAACTGCCATCAACGGTTATCAAATCTATAATGAAACAGTACTTAAATCAATAAAATTGCAAGACATAACTTCGAATTTTTGAACACATAGAGGAAAGAAGTACAGATATATAAGAAATAAGGAAGCAATATTTAGCCTATTATACAAAAAATTATAAACAGATTTAGACAAACTGCATTTTGCTATATTGAAACCAGTGGTAACAAAGTTGAAATACAATTTAAATTCATCGAAAGTTCAGAATGTACATTTTGTTGTTGTTGTTTTAGTAACTGTGCGTTACATAGAAGTTGTATGCAATATATATGTAAACGTAGTATACAGACATATATATACGTATAATATATATGTATACGATTAAAAATATGTAAATCAAAATTATAATTTAAATTTATAGTAACGCCTTAATTCTTCCTCTCTGTTCTAAAAACTATAAAAACATTTCTGTACTACATCATTTCTAGATTAATCTATGCTGCAAGGCTTGCGCAACGCTGATGACGTAGTTTTTCCGAAACTTGAAATCTTGGGAACTGGAATTTTTCTAATTTAAACCATAAACTTTATCTTAACAGACTGCCATACTGGATAAATACGCAGTTCGCGTGCAGCTTTGTTCCCACTTGGACGCTATTTCATTTCGCTGTGCTTTGTCGTGTTGCTAACTACGCAGTTATTTAAAATGTGAAACTCTATATAAAATTGTGGTGTGCGTATTTTTCTCATGTTCATGTGCAATGATGATTAGTCCATGTCCAGGAATAAAATTTCTTGCTCTGCTATTTTTAGAATGAAGACGGGAGTTAAAGTGATATTATTAATTTATTATTTGAAAGATATTATATATATACATATATACAGAGAGATGCAGAGATGAAGGAAGTTTTTTAGAAATTAATAGTATAAAAGTATTTCTCCTTGTCTGTTTATATACCCGTACAATGCGCAATAGTGCAAACACCCACAATGCGCATAGTGGACGCTGCGGCAGTCTTTTTGCAGGTGCCCAAAACGTTGGCCTTGAAACATCTTTTGACATTAAATGCTCAGTGATAAGGTGGCCTTGCCGCCGATGTAGATGCGAGGGTTGCACATGAGGTTTGATATGCCCTTGGCTGCACTCGGCAACCCACTTGACATTGCGTCGCTGCTTTAGACGAAATATAAGTTTAACTTCGTCACTAGTGAGGCCAAAGTCTCTTGTATGGTAAGCTGTAAATTCTCCTGGTCAGATCTGGGGATAATTATGAATTGCAATAAGGGTTTTTTTGTTGTGGGATTCTTTCGTTCAACAAATGTAGGTGCTGATCAGATGTTAAGTAGCTGCTAATTTTTTTCCGATTTCTTCCGACTGGCAGACCACCGCCAATCCACCCGTTGGATAGGTTTGATCGTTTAACTAGGACTCCAAGTTCGGCAAAGGAAATTCCTGGGAAAGTTTATCTCTAAGCTTCTGCTAGTTGTGTTCTCTTTTGGAATATTATTAAAGTAGGTGTAGTAGCTGGCGGAAGGATTGCTGTAATGCATATGCGTAAGAGTGTCCAGGAGCTGGAGAAGGCAAAGCAGAGGGATTTGGAACTAAAGGAACTTGCTGTAGAGATGAAATAATAGGTGGGTATGAATAACCTCACAGCAGACACTGATGTATTCACCTCAGCCTCAACTGTGGCTGGTTCGGGATGTAATCCGGGCCCTGAAGAGCCAATGCCGTAAACGCATCCATGAATGGAGCAATTTTCTCGTGGTTCGAAAAGAAGTGTTTACTTTCCTCCTCGATAGAGAGTTGCAATGGCACGAATATGATCGTATAACAAATTAACTTTGTCACATAGTTGTATCAGTTGCAAGCAATGCAGTAGGATCAAAGTTGTCATTCACTGGGTCATCCGTAATCGAACATTGTTGAGCATAGCGATGCGTGAATATTAAATAAGCTCACACTAGGTAATTAATTCCCATAGAAACAGACTGGTATGATATAATTACAAATGACGTTAATATGCTTTATATCAGTAAAAACATAATGAATATTCAATATAAACAGAGAAAATATATTATTATATAAAATATATATAATCAATCAAAAATATGTATACGATATGTAAAAGCACACAGAAAAGACTCAGAAAATATAACACAGTTAAAATAACAGTAAACAGTCTTAAAAACTATGGAGAATACACTGTAATGAGTTTGTCGAAATTGCACTCGACGACGTGAAGGAGTTGTTCGAAATTCACAACGTTTCGACAAAATCAAGTATCATGTTTAAACTAGTATTCCGAGCCCAATGAACAGACCCTTTGGGGTTACTAACATATTTTATAAAGTTTCAGACTGCAGTCAGAAAATTAAGTTTATTTGGGTCTAGATTTTAGCTAGGTTCCAGAAAAAGTTAGTCTTAAAATACTGATATCGAAGATAATTGCAGCCATATTGAAAATATAATATAATAGTATATGAAGAACTTACCAATTTGCCGAAAACCCGGTGATCCTAAGTGCATTAATTACAAAGATATTGATTTTTGAAAAGAAATCACAGATTTCTGGACTTAGAATTTTTTCGACGGACTTCCTAAGCCTAGTACGGGAACCACGTGGTTGCCGTTACAAGGACGGCATATGAAGTGAACAAAATTGTTGAACACACTTTTTCACAAATTTTTTGAAAACTACGATGCACACATACTAATGCAATGTATCCTTGGATTCAGCATACATTCACGCACAATTTGATTTACACACGCACTTCGCACTGTGAAACTTCCACTTGAAAAATCGAAAAATAGCAGGAGCGTAACGCAGCGTGGTCTTCACAGGTCGACTGTCCAAACCGGCTCAAGAGAACGTTAGGGAGTAATTTTTCTTCTTTCTGCACCTGTGAGTGGCCCTAGATCCTCCATAACGTTCTCTCGTACTACAAATGCAATGACATTCGTTGGCTCAAATTGCGTTAGGATCTCCTGAAACTCTTCTCTAATGATGGCGACAGAAGACCTTAAGTCATGGGCGGTCGATACCGCGGAGACATTAGATGTCCTCTATAATCGTGCTTGGGTGTTACGTCTTCGTGGAAAGGCTCTCTATGTGACTACAGCGTTTCACGAAGGCATCGACGTTGTCATACTTTTGAGACGACGGGACCTGGCACAAGTCCTCAGCAATGCCCTTCCTGAGATGGTCCACCTTCTCCTCTTCAGGTATGCAGGAGTTAGCTATTCGGCACAAAGAAAGTACATCTTGAATGTAAAATTCAAACTTGTCATTGGTTATGTACGCAAGTGTGAGTAGCAGTCTTTCAGCTTGGCGTTTTATATCAGCTGCACGGCAAAATGTGTTCTACAGCAAATATGTCATTATTATCGAATAACTGTGTAGCGATTTTGGCGAGGCAAAAACAGACGTTCGTCAGACGCATTTCATCATCTCATTGGTTATATTTGGCGATTCCATCAAAGTATTTTAGCTAACTATTGGTTATCCCCACTGAATATGCAGGGGCTTCTGGGTAGCTGGTAATTCAGGATCGGTGCTAACTCCTCTCCCAGTAATATATTACTGGAAGAGGAGATAGCACATGCTAAGAGCTTCTCTTCGGTCTTACCATCAACCATCTTCAACAGTCTTCTGCTCGAATACTGTAAGAGATCAAATTCAGCGGGAGGCCCTCCAATAATTAGATTTTCGCGTAATTTTTCTGTTATAATTGATTCACCTGGTGCCTCCACCAAACTGTTGCGTAGATGAAGTGATTGTATTAAGACAAATGAGGAGAAAAATACTTAAATCTGAACTCAAGCTCATATTTATTATAAACGAATAAGTAACCACCTATATACACTTGATGAACGAGCTGAAACATTTCAGACTTGGAAGCCTCTACAAAATGGAGACCATCCTACAATAAATGTAACATAAATTTAATAAATTAACAGAAAGGAAATTTTAGCAAATAAATTTTTAGGCGACTTGTCTTTGATGAGTTTCGGAAACGGGACCTTAGGTTTCTGAATCGGACGTATTGCCAATTGAGCCACTATGTGCTTGGTTGATAGGAACAATTTTTGATACTATACATCTACCATTATCTTAGAACAAAATCATAATAAACTATAACATTATTAGTTACAAATTTTCTCTTATACCTTATAATTACTATAGTGTCTACTTTGTTCGGTTTGCTCAGCGAATTGGCTGCAAAATGTTAAAACCATTATAAGTTATTTTGCGTAATAAATCTTATTTTTTCGCTTGTTCAGTAGAATGCATCTATTATCTTCAGCTCATTAATAAACTGCTTTTTACACTTCTCTCAGCCATACATTTAGTAAGAATAATTAATATTTATTCAGTTCAGTGAATATTAATTATCCAGCATCACAATGCTGTGAAAATCAATGAGGGAATAGAATATTCTACAAGTGATGACGAAAATGAGGTTTCAGATACTGATAAAACAATAGCTTATGGTAATGCATATCTCTTTTGAATAATTACTAAATTCTGATTGTTTCAATTACTAAAAAATGGAAAAAAAAATATATTTTCGGCAGAAAATGATTTTACAAATAACAACATTAATAAATTGTGACTTTTTTTCCCTTTTAGGTATCGACAAGCAGAGACAGTTTTTAATAATGGAAGTCTATCAGAATTACTGATAGAATCTGTGGATAGAGGTGATTCAGCGCTTTTCACTTGTCTTGCTTCAAATGCGTACGGAAAAGACGAAACCAATATACAGCTGATAATCCAAGGTAAGATTAAGAGTTGCTTTACTAGTTGTTTTGATGTCTTATTTGTTTATTTAATCAAATTCGCTTCGTTAGTTAAAAATATTTAGATATTTGCATATAGCTTAAGGTTCTAATGCTGGCTTAGATTATTCGTATCATTAACTTTTAAGTATAATTAGTGGCTAAGAGAATATATATGATGTCAATATATGATATTCCTATATATGATGCATGTTTCCTCCTTGAAGGTACCTTTTCCTTTACAAAGATAGCTCTAGTGGGCTTTATAGTATTCTGTTAAATCTAACATTTTAACTTTTAATTAATAATAAAAAGATTATTAAATTATGTTTCATAATTTTGTTTATTACTATAAATATCTAAGCTTTTTTAATGTTACAATTTCATCTTTTCTCATTAGAATTTATTTTAATTAATTTGTTTTCAGTTTAATAGAAATAAGAATTTAAACATTCAAAAACATGATCTTCATTTAAAAAATTAAGTAAATAAATAAATAATAAAATCATATTATTGATATTTTATCTTTCTTTTTTTTTTAATCTTAGAAATTAAATCTTAGAACTTAGGGATTTTTCAAAATAAAACAGTGAATCTTTTTTTACTATAATTGCTTGTATGATGATTTAAAGGAAATAGCTTTAAAATTACGGTTTGATAAAAAATGGAAAAAAAATTACGTAAATATATTTGTCGCACAAAAATCGCATCTTACGGAGGGCAAAATTCTGAGCAATTATGCAATATCTTTGTAAAAGATTTTCCCAATTGAAAAGCTTTTCCCATCGTTTCTTCCGAGGTCTGTTTTTGGAAGGATGGGGGAAAGAAAGCAATTCTCAAAACACTGATGAGACAAAATTACGTCTTATGTATTTTGAGTTCGCTGCATAGATGATTTTATGTATATAAGCGCACACATGGAAGCATGCACATATAATATATATGTATATACATAGGTAGAGAGAGACGGATCAATGTAATGAATGTGATACCAAGATGCATTTAAACCGGACTTGCAAGTAGCTTGGATACATAATGAGCATCGGATATACGATAATAATATTATTACTAATATTATTATGATGATTCATATGTGGTAGTAATAATGCAGTTTAATGCTATAAGGATAATAGTAATAACGATGATAATAGACCTGCACCATACTAATAATTTATAATATCTAAGGAGTTTATTTTTTATTTTATTTAAAGCACAAGTCCAACATTATATTAATTAATCATCTTTTATTCAAGCAAACAGATGTACAGGTAAAAAAGAGCTTAGCACAAAGGTGAAAATTTAATTAAAAGAATTTTCATTTTAACCTAATTTTGCGTAAATGTCTTTTTAACTGAGAAGGAAATTTTTAAGGCGTTAAGATCAACCGGATGACGACGATGACTCGGTTGCTAAATAAGATGTAGTACGTACTAAAGAATAGATTTCATTTCGCATTAGATACATGGTCCTGAATAAATGTTCTGGAGATAAACACTGTGTCTGTAAATCCAATACATAGTATATTAATGCAAAAATGATGTTGCGGGTAAACGACATACAAACAAAGTATCTAATAGCTAGAACGATTAACGAACTATTTACTGCATGAAATTGCGTTTATATGTGCGGAAGACGCAATTACGAATTCATAATTTATTTTTTAATCATGAATTCACCTTATGAGGCAATTTGACCCATTAAAAAACAGAACTCGTTATAATTTACGAAGATTTGCTGTTATCCGTTGGGTTCCAGTTAATTTGTAGAAAATGAACGCTGAATTTCCATAGCTAAAATTTACCTCTGGTAACTCATATATATCGAACGATAAACAACGCATTCGCAGACATTCTCCGAATTAACAATTCTATCATTATAATTAGCTTTTGTTTCTAAAATATTTCAAATACTGTACATCGTTTTTGGCGTAAAAGTGATGTCGAAAGTTTTTATTCGTGTTTTCCACAAAAATTTTGAATCATAAAAAGTAATTCATTAAATGCTTTTTTCCCACTCACAGCAAGAAATATCGCTAAGAAAAAATTATACCTTCCGTATGGAATATTCTGCGTATATATATGTACGCAGAATATTCTGTTTTTGAATAGGTCAAACTGCCCCATAAGATGAATTCATGATTAAAAAATAAATTATGAATTCGTACTTGTGTCTTCCGCACATGTAAATGCAATTTCATGCAGTAAATAGTTCGTTAATCGTTCTAGCTATTAGATTCTTTGTTTGTATGTCGTTTACCCGCAACATCATTTTTGCATTAATATATGTATTGGATTTACAGACACAGTGTTTATCTCTAGAACATTTATTCAGGACCATGTATCTTATGCGAAATGAAATCTGTTCTTTAGTACCTACTACATCGTACATACATAGATAGGTAGAAGAAAGTTTTTTTCATAAATTACTCAGTAGGAAGAAATCATTAGTAAACACAAATTTTCTTTTCTCGATTTTAACCCTTAATTTTGCTTCTACGTCTGTGGAATGAATAACATTCTTTATTTAATAATTTCAAAAATAAATGTGGACCTTCCTTACATTATTTTATGCTTGTCAAAAGCACTTTTGCAGAAGGAGGTAAATATTAACAATAAAGGTATAATGCCTTTCTGCAGTATATTCTGCCAAATTAGCTAAATACGTAATCAAGGTGCTTTGCTTTAAATACCAAGAAACTATTAATTACTTAAATTAAACCATGGAAACATAACTTATTTATTTAATGAAATGAGTACAACCTGTATTTATAATAATATTTTCCGGTAATATTGAAAGAAATTTGAGAAACGTACGAACAATATATTTTCCAGTATTAGATAAACTTCTCTTTGACACACTGTTAATATTTCCAGGGAATTATAATTCAACACTGATTACCATGCGTTCAGTAATAAAGTGTTAAAATTTAAATCTTATCAGGACCTAATGACCCGATATGAAGGACGAGCTTTGCATCATGTATATTAACTTTAGGAGAGATTAGACTGTCATCATCCATTAGGGCATAGAAGCAGCCGTCTATTTATATCAATGAAAGAGAACGGTAAATGCTTAGACCATTAGCGGTATCCCTTAATTTTTCTCTCAGCCTGGCTGATGGAACTTGGTAACGTTTCCTGAAATCGGTAACGTTCCGCCATCGGGGAAATAAGGCATTCATTTTCTGTGAAGCAGCTAATAACGGCGAGAAAATGGCGACACAAGAGCATTTCACTTGCCGTCACAGATAGTAGTAAACGTAGTTCATCATGGTGAATGTCTGACAGAGAGCAGAAATAATGTACTAAAAATTCTAGATAATAAACCATCTCTAGAGATAGTTTGAAAGTTCTAGCAGATGATCATTGAAGTGACACGAAAAATTTGGATAAAAGTTTCTTTGCCCCTGTCGAAATAATATAAAAATATAATTTGTGTTAAGAATGGTAATAGTCTTGAAATTTAAATAAAGCAAGGAACTTAGTTTTTTGTTTAAGTAAACCATGTGTAAAAGCAATAAGTATTTAATACAATAATATTAGTAAAATTTCATTAAATTGTTTCAAAGTGATAACTGAGAAGTATCTTTCTAAAAGGGCGCGTTATTTTTATTATATTATAATCCAAATTTATGGAATAAGTAACCCAAAAAACTGCTGGATATTTAAAAATGTCTTCAGGTGAAGGGAAGCAGTTATCAGAATTATTTATTATACAAATGTAACATCATGATAGAATGAAATTATTGCTATTTCAGGCACTTTTGACATACAAAACACTTATGAACTAGTAACTAGACTATCTACCTCAGGCAGTAAAAACAGCTCTTATAATGCTGGCATGGAGTCTAAGAGACTTTTGATGGATTGGATTATTGGATTATTCAGTTATGGCAAAACACAAGGGCTATCTGCCTAAAGGGAGGGATGCCTTCGTGGAGGACTTTCTAAGGGAAACTGGTTCGTATACACGTTACACATGGGAAAACCACGAAAACGCCCATGCAGCCAGCCCGTTCGCGGGATTCGAACCTCGGACCTAACTACCAGTGTTCAGCGTCTTTACCGCTCGGCTGCTGGTGGGCAGACTTTGGATGGAAATCATGGATACGGCAGCCATACGACGTATGCCAGTAATGATTTGCCGTATAGGCGGCGGGATGTTGCTATGGTATGCAATTTGAAAGAATTTTAAATATGTATATAGTTGGTCAGAAATCGGGAGAAACCCCAGACCAAAGCAGGCGTCTCATTATAATCGTGTGATAAATCAAGAGAACGTGCACATTATGATGAATTCCTAAACACCTAATCGAATTTTTAATTAAATTTGGTGAGAATGTACATTTATAACAGAGAAAAAAATGTAATATTCAAAATTCATTTTATGTACGCATCATTATCAGGAAAGATCATAGTGTAGGGATGTCCAAAATCCACACTGTGATATCGAATTGAAAATAAGTCTGATGATAGGAGTCCGGACAGGAGGCAGTTGAGGGAACGGTGCGGCAGTCGATCCTACTCCTGCAACAAGGTAGTTTTTAACTTCGAGATGATTTACGGTTGGGAATGGCGCGAAGAAATTGCCATCCTAAGAGCGTCCCAGACATGCTTTATAGGGTTAAGATTAAGAAATATTGCTCGCCAATTTATGCGATGAATATCCTCACTTGTCAGGTAACTGTCGACTAGCTAAGCCCTGTGTGGGCGAGCATTGTCATCCATTAACAAAAAGCCAGGACAAGCCCTTACTAATTGGACATACGGTTCTAAGATCTTCTGTCTGTACCTCATATCAGTTAGCGAGCATTTGTCAATCACATGAAGGCTATGCGGCCATCTAACTTATGGCTATGCGGCCATCTAACTTAACGCATACGCGAATCATTACGTCCACACCCCCATATTTATCGTTTTTCCTGATGAAGGAGGGGGTATGTTGTTCCAGGCTCTCTTTAGGCAGAGGTACACCAAGAATCAGTGCCCAAACTGAATCTTGACTCATCTGTGAAAAGCCCACTGAAACCTGGTCGCTGGTCCAAGGCACATGTTGTCTGCATTATGTTAAATGTAATATTTTGTCTGCTGCAATAAGCGGGACACAAACAGCGGAACTCTTGGCATAGAGACTTATCTCATGGAACCTTTGAACAACTCTAGACCGTGAAACTCGGCTTTCACTGGCGGCATACAGCTCTTGTGAAAGCCATGAAGTTATAGCAGTTCTATTTCGTTGTGCCGAATGTGCCATAATAGCAATCCTCAGTCGTCGTTGTGGATCTTGGTCGACCTTCTGCAGGTCTGCTGGATATGAATTCAATGTCCTGAAACTCTTCGTCTCATTCTATGATCCATATGTTCGTGGCTATTCATTTTACCTGATGCCAGATGAAATTACTCAACTCTTGTGACAAACGCAGCGAATGTTGTGAAAGAATTAGGACCACGAAAACACCTTGTGCACCTACATCACCTGCAGAATCAGAGCTCCACAGACACGCTCTTGTAAGGTTATGTACTCGACTCTGAATATTAACACAATTCTTCGACGGTATAATCAGTAGTTTTGGTACAATGCTTTTCGTGAAAATAATTTGCAAATTCTCTTAGCACGCGAATCTATCTGTCGATTGACGAAACCTCCCTGATTAGTATAGTGGTCAGAGACGCTGGCTACCATTTAGTTTAAACAGATTTAAGATCCCAGAGAAGACTTGAATATTTGACTTTAATGGAATCTCAAGAAGTTTGGTGTTTGGAGAAGATGGATGAGAAACTGCTTAATGTCTCTTTTGGGGATTTTCATCAAAATTGTTATGGAGAGATACTTTAAGTGCAATGGAGATCTTGTGAAGCCATTTATGAATCACTAGTTTTCCATCCTCTTCTTCATGGCCTGCCATGTGTAGGGAGGATAAGTAGAACAGCATGGGAAACATGGTGTCTTTCATCATTTTGTTGACAGATGGAGCGACTGAGATACCAAAGATATGTTGCTGCTATTTAAACATAAAAAGATAACTTTAGCTGTTTTGGATATGCGGACTATAGGTGAACAGAATGCGTCCCTTCTGACATTGTACTAGCAGTCTAGATGCTGGGTGAATTTGACGAAAAAGCTACTTTAAGAGACGTTAATATTTCCTTATATGTAAAAAATTTTATTCGTTCACCTTATACACCATGTCGTGAATGCACCAAATGAAGCTGTGGTAATTCAGGAAACCTCGTTCTAGTAGTTTTCTTACAGGTGAAGGAAGACGGGGACGCCTGGTGTTTAACAGTGGTAAACAGGCATATGTCCCACGCCTTCCCCTGTGTAGAAGCAGCAACTTTAAATTAATAAAAGTATTTACAGTGCAACAAGAGCAGATGAGTGATTGTGTTACATTGCAGTTCAGGTTACATTAGCATGTCATAAATAGTCAAGTGCAAGACATAAAGAGAAAGGGTCTTAAATTAAAAAAAAAAAAAAAAAAAAAAAAAAAAAAAAAAAACACATTAATCACATAAACATAAGGCGTAATTAGATGCCAATACTCTTCACTCAATACATAAACTTAAGCATATTGCCAATGCATGATAGTGTTGTATATTGGGAATACTGAGGTATCTAGAGATTCTATACTTACTACAGGGTGTACAGACAGTGAACAAAAGCTTAGTAAAAACATGATACTTGATAAAATACAGGACAAAATACATGATACAATACATGAGACACGGAATACATTGATAAAATACAAGAGACATGAAATACATTGATAAAATACATGAAACATGATGCAACTTTAGAAATAGTACACAACACTAAAAATGTGATATACAGAGTGGAATACGTATACAAAGGTATTAACAGAATACAAAACAGAAGATAGTGCATTAAAGATTTATGTACAATGGATATATACACAGAATACCCACACAGGTGACGGAGGACGGGGACGCCTGGCGTCGAACAGAGGTAACAGGCATATGTCCCACACCCTCCCCTATCCAGACGCAACAACTACACATTACACATTTATATGATACATAATTAAGCACACACATTTGAAATACATGACAAATAAATATACATAGAGAAAACACAGTTCAACACAAAATATACAAAACATAACAGTACAATGATACAAAGTACACACAATACGACATTAAACAGCATAAAACATATATAAACATTACGTTAAACACAAAAAACATATAAGGTGCACAGTTATAGTGGCAGTTCAGTATAGTTTCAGGGAAAGTACTTTACAGTGGCAGTACTAGGCACATTGCGCAGAATGTACGCAATACCCACAAGTGAAACACTAGCGGTATACAGCATGCAGTATGTATTGTTGCACAGTTTGTTAAGGCAGAATGCAGTCACTGAGACCATTATGAATAGCACTGTTTTATAATGGGAGGCAAAGGTCTTGGCCGTAGGCCTTAATGGTGTTAACGATTTTGCACACTGTGTTGATTGCCGCTTTATTTTTAAGGATAAACTTGTGGAAGGCAGGTATGTTCGTGGGTTCCGGGAAATGGTGCTGTTCTGTGAGTGGGCACCGGAAGATATAGTGATCGGGTGTCCCCTCTTCCCCGCATACACAGCGATCCGTATTAGAAATAGTGCGTCTGTTGAAGTAGTCCGGGAAGGGACCGTGCCCAGTTACAAAGTTAGTAAGTGGAGCGTTTGCTATGAGTCTCTCCGTTGTCACCATCGGTAGAAAAGCCATACACTCTTCTTCCTGTGTTTCCATGTTCCCATACTCTTTGCCACCACTGGACTGCTGCGCCTTTCAGCAGTCTTTTAAGATGGGAAGGTGGCGCCGGAACAGCGATGGGACGTGCGTTGATGTTTGAGGCTGCCTCTTTGGCGAGCACGTCCGCTGCCTCATTACCTGCATTGCCTTCGTGAGCTTTCACCCACGTCATGTCCACGTGTACCTGTGGGTTATCTTTTAAGAGTTTTTGAAGGCGGATGATCAACGGGGAAACATGGTTGTGTTTGCTTAGGGCCAGCAAGGCAGACATACTATCCGTATAGAGATAAGCTTTTGAGATTTTTCGGCTTATTAGATATTCAACAGCAGCTGTAATTGCTATCACTTCTGCCTGAAAGACGCTATTGCTGTCACCTAGGTGGCCTTTCCAATGATGTAATTCTTGGCTTTGCCAACAGTGCAGGAAAGCACTGCCAACGCCTTCAGCATGTTTAGAACCATCAGTGTAAAGTGTATGGTTGCTGATGTGCTGTATTTCCTTGTTGGGCTGTTGCATGATGTGGGTGTGGACCCCTAGTCCTTTATGCGCTGGATGTGTGTGCAGCGGTGTCTTGGGGTGCTCATAAAGTGCTGGACTGTAGAGAGTACCTGCGAAGGAGGCGTCTTTCCTCAAGTGAAGGACTCTCGTATATGTCGCCTCTAGCTCGGCCTGGATGTGTAGAGGGACTATACCTGCTAGAGTAAGGGCGGAGCTCGTGGCTGTTGTGCAGTATGCCCTGCAGATGCTTATGACAAAAGGGCGTTGGAGTGATGTTAACTGCTTGATTTTCCTCGTTGTCATCGGTTGAGCCCAGATTGCAGCTGCGTACAGCGCAATCTTTTCCACCACCGTGCTATAAAGCACTTTTTGAATGTGGGGATTTAGTCCCCAATTCCTTCCTTGAAATTTCCGTGTCATTCTGGCTATAGCGGAGGTTTTTGCTCTCTGTTGCTGCAAATGTGGCACCCATGTTAAGCCAGAGTCCCAGACCACTCCTAGATACTTCTGTGTATCCATGAATTTAATGTTGCGGCCAAGTAATCGGATACAGGGACGACGTACAGGCCTCGTGCCCGGTCTCGGGATGAGGAGTGCAGAAGACTTGGTGATAGAAATCCTCAGCTTAAGGTCTTCGCATAGGCTTGCGAACTTGGCGCACGCTTCGCTGCCATTGGCTTCAATTTCGTCTCGTGTGCGACCTTTAACAAGGAGAGCCGCGTCATCAGCATATGCAATGATAGTTGTGTGATCAGGCCACGTCGCTTCGAGGATTTTGTTAAATGTCAGGTTCCAGAGCAAGGGCCCTGCACAGGACCCTTGTGGGCAGCCTCTGACTTGGGTCTTAGTAACAATGCCATTATTGTTTGCCATAAGTAATTGCCTATCTGTGAGATAACTCTCAAAGACTTGGTAGATGTTCTCCGGGCATTGCGCCTCTCTGAGGGCCTGCTTGATGGCGGGCCACCAAAGGGTGTCGAAAGCGCTCTGGAGGTCTATTGAGATGAATGCAGTCTGAAGATTCTGTGAGCGATTAAGCTGGACTTCATCATATATTCGTTGAAGGGCATGTGTGGTTGAGCAACCTGAACGGAAGCCATATTGCTTGGGACTGAGGAAGTTGTTTTTTGTGAATATGATACTTCAGCCTGTTAACTATGATCTTTTCATAGATCTTACCCAACGCTGAAAGGAGACAGATCGGACGAAAGGAGCAGGGGTCTATTGGGTTCTTATCTTTTTTGAGAAAAAGTACCACGTGTCCCTTCTTGAAAGCTTGTGGAAATACTCTGTGGTGCAGGAGTTTATTGAAGTAGAGGCGAAAGAAGGTGGGCCGTGCTCGGAAGGCGACCTTTAAGATTGCATAATCAAGTCCGTCCGGACCCGGTGCCTTCTTCAGTGGTAGATGGCGGAAGATGTGAGTGATTTCCTGCATTGTAATGGGGACATCTTCTGGCGTTCTTGGGATCTCTGTGGAGTTTCTCAAAAGTCGCTGGGCCGTCGTGTCATCCTGTTCTGGATCCGCTGGGAAGATTGCATCAAGCAGTGCTGTGGCCGTGGACCCTGCTAAGTCAATTGTTTGTGGTAGATTCCCTGGCTGCACTGGCACTTGTGCCGGCTGGAAGATTTTCTGCGTGGCCAGTTTATGCAGGATTCCGTAAGGATTGCTATTGCTGGTACAAAAATTGCGCCAGCTGTTGATTTTGGCTTCTAGAATTGCTTTTTTATAAGTAGCCCGTGCTTGTCGGAATGCAGTTAGCAACCTTTCCGTTTCTGTGCCGTCTACAGCCGTTCGGAGACGGCGACGTAATGCTCTGCACCTTTGGCGCATTTGTCTCAGCTGCCTAGTCCACCACGTAATGCCTTGCAGTTTCTTGGCAGTCCTGATTGGTAGAATTCGCTCGCATGTGTCCTTGAGAGTGGTGAGAAGATTATCTGTGTAGATATTCATATCATACTGGTCATTATGCGTATTAAGCTCCATCTCTTCTCTTCTGAGAGTTTCGCTGAGAATGCGATGCAGATGCCTAATCTTGCCACCCGGAAGCTTAAACCTTTTTAATATGCTAATGCTGGTGTCTACTTGAATGAGGAAATGGATGTACTTATGATCGGAATTGCTTTCATCATCCATGACAGTCCAAGAGTAAATATTGTTGAC